CCCTTTCTTTGCCCGTTGACCTCCGATAATGGACGAGCTAGCAACCAATTAGGAGGTCGTTTGCACATGTTATGCTGATAGCCTCTATCATTTCAGCAAGCATCATGCTTTGATTGATCACGCATCCCATGAAAAGTTATAGGATACACTCTGGAAGTGGAATATCTCGTCACATTGGCAATCGAAGGGCGCTGCTGCTGGGGGCGGAGCACAGACCGTGGCGGGGCTCAGAAAGGAATGGCAAGCCTTGTACGCTGCAACTAGCGCACCTTTGACCACAAAAACGCAACATTTCGTTTCCTTGGGCCCCTGACTACTGCTTCCAATGGTGCATGTACTTCCACGCTGCATACGCACTTTATCGTAATCTCTCGCTTTAATGGACATAATGCATCAACACTTGTGTTGTGGTGGAAACGTCCTGCACCGGAGCGCTGGATGTACGGCCCTGCGTCGGCCTTGGTGGCGGGGGGTATTCAACGGAAACACTTGAGCGATTCGAGTTGGTGAGCCGAACGTGGACTCACGCTCCACAACCGTCTCCTTACTAAAAAGTAATCAATTTAAAAACCATAATACTAGGCAATCAGAGGAAGGGAGATTTCTCTAATTTCACAATCGAACGAAGAAAAAGGGTGCATGAACGACAGCCATCGCGCTCACATTTTTTCCCAACTTGTCGTCCTTCACCTCTTAGTATGGTGGTCTCTTATAATACCCCTTTATCACCATCATCAAGGCTGAGGCCCAGACATCGCCGATGGGTGAGGGGGGAGGGCGGGTTCCCATTCGCGCACTCTTCCTCCCACCGGCGACCATAACACCCTCCACTAAATGGCTATTCCTGAGATCACTTGCACGCTGAAACGTGTGCCCACTTTTGTTTCCCACAGCCGTGACGCAGAAGAAGTTCGGATATTTAGGCCAACGATTTTCAAAAACACCGTTGCTAGATCTCCTGCCGGCACTCACCACCCTTGCTCGTCTTCCACAATACTGACCCAGTCCGCACTTGCTTCGGAGAAATGGGTAACATGGACGGCCCCAAAGACGCCCCCCTCCCTCCCAAAATCGCAACTACAATCCCCTTCCCAGCCCGAACACTTAGAACGGAATACTTTAGATGTGATGGTTTGTGGTGTCTGTGTCTCGCTGCTCCATGCTTGGTTCGCCTCTCATCTGCTCCCTCGTCTCGCGTCTGTTTTTGTTCTTTTTCCTTCAGTGACAAGCCAGCCCATTACCATCAGAGCTCGATATTTGAACTGATCTGCGTATTTATTTACATTATCGCTTTCACCTTTTTGTCGGCGAGCTGTGGACATGTTCTGTACTACAAAAATTGTAGGAACTGCACTTACGTGTACTCCTTGGATGGGCTATGGCTGATGAACGGAGTGCTCGAATCGGCCGCCGCTAACGGCAGAGGGAGTGGTCGGCTTTGACTTGTAGCATTGCTGCGTATTTGCTCGCGTTTCGCCTCCGGTACGCCAGTACTAAAGCAGCGACTGATTAATATTTCTGAACTTGAGAATTCAACGTCATTTTACTTCCCCTTTCCATTTTTACAACCTCTTCACATCTCCGATTTAAGCAGATTGTACATTTTTTCAAATTATTTACCGCTTTAAAAATTATTACATTGTATTTGTCAACTAGTAGTGGGAGCTAATGGTTCACACATTGCTCAACACAGACGGCTCAGATGAGTGTATAGCCTAGCCGCATCCACAAATAAACATCCATTGAAGAATTGCGATCTCGTTTTGGACAGAAAAACCATTCCTTCGAAACATTCCTGTAGAGGCTGTCAAAAATAGCAGAACGACAAGGCAAACTGTAAGCCTAGCAGCTTAGTGGAGTTAGAACAATAGGCAAGTGTCAACTCCTACCTTGCGCAGGCCTGGGGGCCAAAGTCTAAGTCGAATCTAGCCCAGATGACTCAAACTATCATTTCAGATCAACTAATTTTTTTCCAGCCCCTCCCGAGACAAAAAGACCCGGTAAATTGTGCTCAGTTGTCCCGCAAGCCGTCGAATAGGTTAGATCCCGTTCAAAATAGTGCGATTACAAATGGTAGAAAATGTGGGCGCAAACCAAATTGAGTAACTTACGTGGTAACCGGTGGTCGTTTCTTCAGACAGAAGCGATACAGATATACAACGGCAATGACGACGGCCAAACCGCCGACCACCCCCGACACAAGTACAGCGATCGTAAACAGTGGTCGTTGCTCTTCCTAAAAAAAAATGTAACAACTCGTCCATTACTGGGTTAGTGGGCGGGGCTGACACGAGCTTATATAATTTCGGTTGGGGTA